TTCACTATAAATGAATTGCAGTGGAACATGGGTCACCGACATGCGGCAACATTCGGTAACAGTCGGCAATACGGTACTGTACAAAACCGCGCATTATTTATACATTCTGCCCGTTGGACACAATTTTCCGGGGACGCCGCGGCGCCGTTCCGACTCTGCGCCGTGCCGTCGGTGCCGGGAAAATGAAACAAAGACGCGCCTCGTGCTACAAAAGCTCCATTTTTGCGGAAAATTAAAAACCAGCCATTGTGTACTGATTGGCTCGGGGGTAAGTACGGAATCAGTTCTAGAAATAAGTTAGCGTCTGGGGAGAACCGAGCCCGCGCCATACCTCTTTGTTTGCCCTCGAAATATTAAAGGACATTTGCGGAAATGATCAAACGGCCAACCTGGGCGCCGCCAGTGTTAGAGACAAGCGAAGCAACTCAAAAAGAATTTTATAACCTACAAAAAGACATGTTTAAACTTTTCTGTTAGTTTTTGTAGAATCATATACTTTTTTTGGTTCGAGATAACATTATTAGAACACTTCCTATGTCCCACAATATTAGTTTGCAATTACGAGTGAAGTGGTGGCAGACGCTCAGCAAAGTACAGTGAAGGCCTTTGTAGAAGTTTGGGTAACAATCTCTTAAAGTTTGCCGACCAGATTATCGTCTCAGTTCGATGCGCCGTCCTTTGCTCATTGGCAGTGTTCACTACTTTGAGAAGTACTTGTTTGCGGCTTCACTACATCCACTTGGAGAAACACTTTGTTCGGTGCATGTGTCTGCGTCATTAAACTCTCGAAAGTTTGGAAGTTATTTTAATGGTGTACAATAGATTGGTTTTTGGGGGAATTGAAAATATGAACGTCGTAAGATAAGAGGTTTGGGGATGTTCTTGTTTAACTCGTTATAAAGGTGAGACGGATGGGAGCTGGGAACGAGCAATCTCCGTCTTAACTGTTACAAACAAATTAAATTAAAAATTCACCGTCCTCTCGCAAACGTCTCGTTAGCGCCGAACAAAGGGCCCTACGAGGCCTGATTTACGGGATTAATAAATCATATCTTTTGTCGTGCAAACGTAGCGCGGACCGGCTTACACCTTCCCTTATTGTTCGGCTTTCCGCACCTACAAAGCTCCTAAAAATAGTCAAGTATATCTAAATTATTACCTTCTTCTCTTCCTCCGGGTTAGAACATTAGGTTATTGCCCCGGGATGATTTATTTTCTCGGAGACGTTAAACGGTTACAGCTTATTATAGAAAATTTGAAATTAAAGTTGCCAATTAACGACGTCAGCTCTAAATTGATTTAATTACGCAAAAAGGGGTCGAATTAATTAATTCAAGTCGTTTTCCAGCTTTTTGTTTCGATCGAATCCCCCAATTTCGCGCGTCCTAAATTAGTTCAAGGGCAATTTTTAGCGATTGATTCCACTTTTAGAATAAAAGTCTATTCTCAATACCCACATTATTCCTGTCAATCCCAGCGAATTTTATCAACCCCTCACTTATTCAACACCAATCTACTACCGATTTACACTTTTTTCCCTTCTTTTTCATAAAATTTCCCTCTAATTCGTCCGCACGAAGTGAATACGTAAGAAGGGTATAGAGAAATTGGTGCGAATTTCTTCGTCTCCCCTTTTCTTAAGAACGAGGGATAAGGATCGCCGTGTAAACACACAATTCCAAGTGTAATACATATGTAAGAGGGAGCCGCCGGGGCAAATCGCCCAATCCTTTACAATTCAATGCGCCCACCATGAATATCTCATGGGCTTTGGCCCTTCACGGTCCGCGCGATCATTCCGGCTGATTGCATTCGCGTTTTCATTTTTCATAACGTAATGGCATGCACACGTACCAGTTTTTATTGTCCTTTGGGAAACACACGTGGCACACCCTTTTAAACGTTTTATGATCTACTATATTATACTACTGTTTTTATTACTTACTTATTTTCTTAAAATGCTAACAGCAGGAACTTCCTATAACTATATATATCTTTAACTTTATTTATGAAACTTAACCCAAATTAACAATTTTAATCTAGTAATATGAGATACTGACCACAACAGAACTTTACAATTATTTTTTTGTCCTTTCACACGCTTGTTTTTCAATGAGTTGATTGTTTTTGGAATTCAGAAATATAAGTTTAAGAAGCATTCCAAAGTTGCAACCTTGGTTCACACAATTTTTGCAAAACGTGGTCTCTGTTGCGTGGATAAACTACATATCCTTTAAGATCCGATATCATATTCTGTATGATATTAGGTTAAATCCTTTCCATTATTCAATATTAATACTTATTTGAGAAATTTGGTTTTAGAAAAAGAAGTGGAAAACTTTCCTGCGGCAGTTTTTTTCATTCAGGTTTCAACTGTCTAAAAAATGCCACATCGAGATATTGAAGCAAATGTGCAGAGTTTGGAGGGAATGCAACAAAAACTGCATATTGTCAAATTGTCATGATGATGACATTGTAAATTCAAACCAGTTTCAACAAAATTTGTGGTCAAACCAATCACAAATTTTCATCAAATACATCAAATATCTCTGAATCCATTCATAATAGTTCATTTTAAAATAGCCTGATTATATATAACTTCATGTTGTCCTTTCTTTGCAGCATTTTCATGGTCATTGAAGAACTGTTATCGGCAATATTGTAAAATTTATAACAGACATAATATAATCTTACATTCTTCCAAAAATATTTTGTACGTACATCGAAAATTTAGTATTTTATCCTAATACGATAGGAAGTTTATAGTTATGAGTAATAAGTTGTACATGCGTTCCAATTTGTGTGCTTGCCCTTATTATCAACTGGGAAATTTCAAAAACTTGATTATAGCAGTAATTAAGCTATGTGAACTTAGAAAGCTTTTCTCACAAACCTACATCGGCAGCTTCCTCAAAAATAACTGTGATATTGTCATTCTCGGATTCAGAATAATTTACAACAATTATGATCTTGTTCTTATTAAGAGATTTTTCTTGTTTAATCAATTCCACCTTTATAAAACCACAAAGATGAAAATCTGGGATATTCTTGAAGGTCAACTTGTAGAAATCAATAAAGAGAAGCCCCTTCTTGTTCTTAGAATTAATATGGCTTTGGGGTTGATATGCTTAAATATTGCAGTTTTTTATCCCAAAAAGTGTACAATTTTTTGAGTTAGTTAAATCAACCCTTCATATTAGATAAGTTTTTCTTCTGCTTCTTTCTCAGCCTGTATTCATCCTCTCCTGGATATAGACCTCTTCCAAATTTCTCCATTTATTTTTGTCTTTTGCTGTTTTTATTCATTCTTTCCCTGCCACACACTTCACAACACCGAAACACTTCTTTTGCGGTCTTCCTGCACCTCTTCTAGTTTCTCGTGGTATCAAAACGTGTTTTCTCATAACATCTGTCACTTGTGTTTTTCTAAGAATGTCGCTATTTTGAATCCTGTCTCTCAGAGTGACTCCCAGCATTGCTCGTTCCATCGCTCTTTGGGTTACATTACGTTGGTCTGCAGTTTTCCTTGCCAAGGCTGTGGTTTCAAGTCCGAACAGCTATCATATGCCTTTTGTTTTAGGATTCTTGTTATTTTTTTGTTTTTCAGTATTTTTGAGTTTTCCAAATGTTTGATTTTCTTTGCCAATTTTAATATTGCGACCAACATGCTCTATTGTTGTCAATGGTAACATCATTTTGCATGTTACCCATAATTATTTAGGTTTTATGCCGGTTCATTTTTAGACCTATTTTGTTTGAGTGTTCGTTCAGATCATGTAACATGTTTTTTAGTACCTGTCTAATCTGACCAGTACCACATCGTCTGCAAACCTTAAGTGATTCAAGACACCATCCACATTCAGACATATATTTTCCCAATGCAACGTGATACCAAGAGAAATTTTTGTATCCTCCTCTATTTTGATGTGACAGGTTGCTTGTTCATATGTATATATTTTTGATGATGGTGGTGTTTCGCGAATTTATTCTAGCATCTTCTAGTGCTGCCAGAAATGATGAGACCTCAATGTAAAGGGATTTGGCATGGTGAGGTTGGATAATAAACTTATAGGTCTATAATTTTCAATATTTGTGTTGTCTCCGTTCTTGTGTCTTCTTGTCCAGAAAGCACTTTTGTTTAGAAGCAATTTTAGGGCTTCCTCAAGGAAGTACCACCCACGATTTTTAGCATTTCCGAAGTTATAGAAATCTGACCGAGAGCTTTCTTGTTCTGCAGTTGTCGAAGAGCATATCTAATCTAATTAGATAAGTTAAATTATCAAACACCAAACTCAAATTAAACCATGCTTCCTCAAGCTGCTTCAGTGACTTCTTGAAGCTAAATCACAGATATTAGAACATAGTTCAATATAGATTATTAAAAATCATTGTGAACTAATTGAATGTATTTCAGCCTTAATTTTTCTTATAGAATTGGTAATGTTTGTTTGCGATTTCTTCTATTATTAAAAAAGAAATTATAATTTTCGTACAAAACCTTTTTGAGACCATTAACCTAATGAAATTGCTTCACACCTAACGTTTTCAAGAAACAATTTCGTGTATAATACTTGTCGTAAACTCTTATTAGAAGCAGCAAAGTCGTGCAAATATAACCTCGAACTGCAGCGTAATTTCCCAAAGGTACACCACAATTTTCTTCAACTAACCTTAACCAAAAATTGATGATGTATAATTTGTAAAAGGTTTTTTAGTTAAACTTTAAAAGTCATATAGTATTATAATATAGTAATATGTAATACATAATACATATTTTATGAAATTTTAAAAAATAACTTAAATTTTAAAGTTCCCCTAAAAGCATCTGTAAGCTCGTCTTGGTATAACTGAGTCTCGTCGGGAGACTGTTCTAAAAAGAGACGTCCCAGCTTTCAACCGCAGGCGTACGTACAGTCAGTCGAGAGGAATCTGCCCCACCACCATAGGACGTGCGGTAGGCGGTCGTCACGACGCCGTGCCGAGCGTCGGGACGCAGCACATGGTCTCTAGATCCCGACCAGTTCGCGTCGCTCGGTCCAGGATCGGTTCGCGATCCATTTACGTCGTCGTTCGTTCATCCGTAGAAATGAGAGACTTTCTATTCTAAAAGCTAAAATCAAATTTACTCTTTTTGGACGGGGAGAGCTTTCGAAATAAACCCAGGAGGTTTGTATCAAATCGTTTTACGTTGACGACAGCTGCGAATTTATAGAAGGTTTATTTTTTTACGTGCGGTTTAAGTTCGTATATAATAGAGTTGTTGCATTTGGGGGATTTGATAAAGTGATAAAAATTTCTTACAAATTTTATGCTGGTAAGGAGATTTCACCGTCGTATTTTGCACCTTATGCACCTTGGTTATTATTATATTTTTATCTCACTGAAAATTATTAAAATATTACTTCTGAGTGTTTTATACAAATTTATGTAGTATGTAAAACGTGCCGATAACCTAGATTTTTGAAAGAAAAAAGAATTAACTATCGTAATCCACGAACTGTTGCATGACATATAGCTTACATGTAAACAGGTGTTTTTATAGAATTTGATAAATTACTTTATCGTATGTAAAAAATGTTTTAATTACGTAATTGCTTTCCGTTTAAACTTGACGTAATTTTTTTTGACACAAATGATTTATAAACTAAATAGAATACTGAATTAATGCTGTTTAAATAATTAACAAATATAGCATCATATCAAAAGCTATGCAAAACGGACATTGTCGTGTATTCATAAATACTATACATCAATTACGTGGGTAAACCTGTCATTCTGCAAACTAATTTATTATTCACGGTGCTTTGGATGTCATATTATTAACTTATTTTACACCAACGTAACACATTTTCTGCATTGACCTGCCATCGAGCTATTAAATGTAATCCCTCTTTTAAAATGAATCTATCGCCATATAATATAACGCATTACAATAATTTAATTAATGAAATTTAAATATATATATCAATATTAATATGAATGGGACGCATCGAAGAATAAAATTGCATTGCCGGTGAAATAATATTATAATTATCGAATTACCTTATGTAAATCAGTCGTAATTTGACGGTAAGGTTGAAAAATTCGTTGAAATAGATCGGCGAAGCGCGACGAATGGCAGAGTTTAATATTTTAATTAGGTGTCCGCTCTGTGGCTGCGCAACCCATTTAAATATTTGAAATTAACTTCGATATTAATGCAAATCGCGTGTGCCGTTGTACGAATGACTGGCGGCATAATGAATACGTTAATGTCACGCTGGCGAACTTTGATGAATCCGTTCCGTTGGTAGAGTAAATGTTATCGTGCTCGATCCTTCGAATAAGCTTACCTTTCTAATTTACGTTGCCTCTCTTCATTATATTTTCACTTTCATTCTTTGCGTTTTTTTCTGGGTTAAAACGTTTTAGGTAAAAAATACAGTGATACAATAAAGTCTACAATAATATCTCAGCTCCTGAAATATAATTCAATGAAATTTTTAAACAAAGGATTAAAAGTCTATATTATTTTAATATTTCACATAAAAAATGTATAAGTTATTATTTTTAATGAAAAACACGAAACATAATCATATTTATAACTAAAATAAGTCTACATACCGCTATAACTGACATGTAGAGATAAACAGACAATTTTAAAAACAATCATCCGACAACTACTGCGGTTGATATAGCCAAATCACTCGCGGCATCAAAATGTATAACCGTAAATCCTGAAACAGTTCAATTTGTGCTACAAAGTGAAGGCTACAGCAGTAGAGTTCCCAGAAAAAAGCCATTCATATCGGAAATAAATACGAAAAAAAGAGTTGATTTTGTTAAATTACATGAGCAACAGTCTGACAACCTTCTGACATACTGTTTTATTTTCGGATGAGAGTAAATTCAATATTTTTGGTTGTGATGGCACAACAAAAGTATGGAGAAAGAAAAACGAAGAGATGAGAGATGAAACATGAGATAATGATCCCAAGCATACAGCTCACATTGTGAAGGAATGGGTTCCAGGTCACCTCATTGGACCCTTCATTGGACCTCAACCCGGTTGTGGACTACAAAAATGCTACCTAAAACAAGTAATCCACAGTAGGGAGGCCTTAAAGGTAGCCTTACTCTGTAAAGAACTTCCAGGTCACAGTCAAGCGAAGAGTATGATAGCCTCAGCATAGGGGATCTAAGGACGCTTTCAGGTTTCTTGACCGGCCATGCGCCCCTAAAACACCACCTCTTCCACATTGGACAAGTTGAGGATCAAACTTGTCGACTTTGGAACGACGAGTCAAAAACGGTTGAACATATGCTATGTAATTGCGTTACCAGAGGCCGCCTAAGACACAAAATTTTCGGTAAAATTCTTTAGGAGCAATACTAACAAGGGAAGTGTCACAACTGTGTCTCACCGATTTCGATGCAATTTGGTACAGTCATAGAATGGGCCAAAATAAGGTTCGCACATTTTTTTATACGTGCGGTAAAAGCCCCTGGGGCGAGTTATAGGGGTTGAAAGTTTGGAGAAAAAGTANAAAGAGTTGATTTTGTTAAATTACATGAGCAACAGTCTGACAACCTTCTGACATACTGTTTTATTTTCGGATGAGAGTAAATTCAATATTTTTGGTTAAGATGGTCCAAAAAAAGTATGGAGAAAGAAAAACGAAGAGATGAAAGATGAAACATGAGATAATGATCCCAAGCATACAGCTCACATTGTGAAGGAATGGGTTCCAGGTCACAGAGACATTGAGGGCATTGAGAGGGCGGGCAATCTACCCAAAGAGGTAACAAAACCGGACCTCAACCCGGTTGTGGACTACAAAAATGCTACCTAAAACAAGTAATCCACAGTAGGGAGGCCTCAAAGGTAGCCTTACGCTGGAAAGAACTTCCAGGTCACAGTCAAGCGAAGAGTATGATAGCCTCAGCATAGGCGATCTAAGGAAGCTTTCAGGTTTCCTGACCGGCCATGCGCCCCTAAAACACCACCTCTTCCACATTGGACAAGCTGAGGATCAAACTTGTCGACTTTGGAACGACGAGTCAAAAACGGCTGAACACATACTATGTAATTGCGTTACCAGACACAACAAGACACAACATTTTCGGTAAAGCTCCTTTGGAGCAATACTAAGATTAATTAAGAACTTACATTTGCAGCAATAACACTAATAATAATGTCCATAAATAGCTATACCCACCACCGCAGTCACCCGATCTCAACCCCATAGAGCACGTATGAGAACTTGTTCACCGCAAAATTCGGAAGCTACATATTAAAAATAAAAACTACTTGAAAGCTGCACTATTACGGGAATGGCAGAGTAAATTACAGCTAATTTAGTTGATTCCATGCCTCGATGGTTAGCAGGGAGGACCTACCAAATATTAATTTTAGTATGTAAAGTTCGAGTTGTTTTGATTTCTAATGATATAGTATGTATAAGAGTAACCTACTGTATGTAGATACGATTATGTTTTATGTTCTCCATGATTAATAATAACTTATATGGTTTTTATGTAAAATATGGAAATAATATATCTTCTTACATCTTTTGGAAGCTGAGATATTATTATTTTCTGGGGTGTATGTAAACTTTATTGTATCACTGTACTTATTAACTTGAATATTTTTATTTTATAAGTGGGTAATCCTAATTAGTTTCTTAATACTATCCTTTTTCGCCGGGGTTTGAATGGCGTTCTAATTTGAAGTTCTTAAGCCGAACGACCATCGTCACAAGTATATTTCTCAATAACTGTCAAAANATTTTTAAAATATAAGTGAAAACGTACTTTTTCTCCAAACTTTCAACCCCTATAACTCGCCCCAGGGGCTTTTACCGCACGTATAAAAAAATGTACGAACCTTATTTTGGCCCATTCTATGACTGTACCAAATTGCATCGAAATCGGTGAGACACAGTTGTGACACTTCCCTTGTAAGATTAATTAAGAACCTACATTTGCAGCAATAACACTAATAATAATGTCCATAAATTGCTATACCCACCACCGCAGTCACCCGACCTCAACCCCATAGAGCACGTATGAGAACTGCTTCACCGCAAAATTCGGAAGCTACATATTAAAAATAAAAACTACTTGAAAGCACTATTACGGGAATGGCAGAGTAAATTACAGCTAATTTAGTTGATTCCATACCTCGATGATTAGCAGGGAGGACCTACCAAATATTAATTTTAGTATGTAAAGTTCGAGTTGTGTTGATTTCTAATGATATAGCATGTATAGGTTACTCTTATACATGTAGATACGATTATGTTTTATGTTCTCCATGATTAATAATAACTTATATGGTTTTTATGTAAAATATGGAAATAATATATCTTCTTACATCTTTTGGAAGCTGAGATATTATCATTTTCTGGGGTGTATGTAAACTTTATTGTATCACTGTACTTATTAACTTGAATATTTTTATTTTATAAGTGGGTAATCCTAATTAGTTTCTTAATACTATCCTTTTTCGCCGGGGTTTGAATGGCGTTCTAATTTGAAGTTCTTAAGCCGAACGACCATCGTCACAAGTATATTTCTCAATAACTGTCAAAATGAGGTCTTATTTCAATTTGCGGCCGCCGATATAAGCGGACGCTGTCCGCCCGTTGAAATACATTTTTCTATTAACCGAGCGACCCGGTATATAACATAATCTCTATATTTCTTAATAAAGTCCTGGCGGTCCTTTATTGTCCCGACGTCGGTGACCGTGAGTCCGCGAAACTCGGCCTTAACGCCCCCTTTCATAATATCAACCTTCTCTCGCTTGCTGTGTATAAGCACTTATTGCCCCACGCTGGCATAAAGTAAAATACAGCCCTGGCATTATTGGTTTCTGTGCGCGGAATATCAAAAGAAAATTCACTAAATTTCATTCCGTTGGTTTAACTAAAATTTCTAAATTTATTTAGTTAATCAAATTTCTTTTAAACATTTTAAAGTGTAATCCACCATTAAAATTCAGTCCGCCTCCAATTCCATTAGTTATAAAAAGAGTAATGAATCTTCAAAACAAAATTCATTTCAGTAAGCTATTTGTAATGGATTTCATTTCACCTCTTAATGCATTTCAGAATACTTCAAAATTTATAAATATCTTTGCATATATTACATTGTATATTAAAGATATAATCAACGATGCTATAAAACAAATAATAATGAATAAAGTCTGTCAATGGAGAAAAATTAATAAATCAAAATAAAAATAATAAAATAATAATTTCTTTTTAATGAAACCTGAAACTACCTGAATAATAAATAACAACAAAAAATTTAAATTTAAAAATACAGAAATTATTATAACGCAGAAACTATAAACAACGAACGCAATATTAATAAAATTATATTGAATAGAATAAAATAAAACATGCAACAAAAGTACGTAAAATATACATTTCCACCAACACGGCACAAATGGAGTTGAAAACAGGAGAAAGAGAGAATACAAAAATTTAAAAATATATTATTAAAGGTGTTTTTCATAAGCGAACAACAGCCTTTAATAAAATTGAGTTGGTTCGTACAATAACGTGATGGTTATACAACTACAGAAGTTATAAGAATATGATATAACTGCTTTCATTAACTGTCGTAATAAGTGTAAAATATAAGCATAAGATCATATGCTTATATTTTGCGCTATACAAATAACCAATTATAAACCTAAAAAAGGCCCCAACCTAATTTTGATTAAAACCTTTATTCAAATTTCTTGTTTTAGTGTTTAAAATGAACACATTTTTTTAGAAATCTCTATAATTACATCCATATAGATAAAACATGGTTTTGTTTAGCAAAAGAATCACGTTTTTATTACATCACACTTTATAAAGACGTGCCCTGGCGTACATGCATAAATAAGGGGTTCATTACTAAAGTTATGTTTATGGCTGCAGTGGCTAGACCTTGTTACGACGCTGCCAAAAAACAGTACTTTGACGGAATGATAGGGATTTGGCCATTTGATTACACACAATCTACTCAACGTAACAGCAAAAATAAGTTACAAAAAATATCGAAAAAATACCTTAATTTATTTCAGGATTTGTTGGCTGAAGGATCGGCATTTGGTAGATGAGTAGTTTGTAGCCCTCGGTGTACTTAGCCTGAAAATATAATTTATGAGGGGTTAACCCAAGTGAAATTTGTATTACCGATAACTCATAAAGGAAATGGGAAAAAGAAGAAAAAGGGGAGTGAGTTTAGTGAAATAGGAAAGGAATAGTTACTGAGAGATGAATCATAACTGGCAATTATGGCCATTGTTTCACAAAAGTGGAGGAGATAAGATGACCGTGCAGGATAAGAGAGGCTTAGAAAGCCAGAAAGCAAGATCTTAACAAGAATCGGAAGAAGTGATCTGGAAGAAAAGGACATTTAGTCATAGGTGATGGAGGGATTAAAGAAAAGAAAAAAGAAAAAATCAACATAAAAACTTTTAATCATTTTATTATATCAGTGTTTGATGTATGTATCAAACTCATAGTACTCAGAAATAAATGTATCAATTCTTAAAAATTTGATGAAGGTTCGAGACACTTATCACAAATTTAACGAGTATGCATCCACGTGACATAGGAGTTGATACCACTGATCTTAACATCAATTTAGATATAACCTGTAGTCACAACCACGAAAGAAAAACAACATGCTAAGTTTAAATCCAAATTACTGTTTGATAGACGTAAGGGACTTGATTCAAAATAATGTGACGATAAGGTGACGATTTGTAAGTATTAGTTGCAGTAAATCTGCCAATGCTTAGGCAGATACATCTGTTTTGAAGCAAGCCAAATAGATCTTGTATAAGAAAATTGCAAATCTATACTGCTTGTGTTGGAAATGATGATCTCTCACTTTTCTTGCATAAAAGTATACCATTATAGGTAGAGATCCAATATCCTACGGAAAGAAATAAACACTTCATTTTAAAATCTTCGTCAACACTATGACTCGATAGATAATAGGGTGTATACAACTAAACATCTTTTGAAATAGTTTGTTTTAGTTTATATCCTGACGTACAGAAAATTAATATTCCATGTTCAATATTGTTTTGTCTACTATTGTCGGCAATGTTAGTCATACCCAACCTAACCCAACCCCAAGCGTACTATCAAGCAATATTAAAATGGATCATACGCATGACCTCTTTATGAGGTGTAAGATGCTCATTAAATAGTACGTTGAATACCCATTAGCAAATTATGGAAGTTATTTTGCTGATATCCAAAGCGGTACTGGTATGGTTGCTAAGAATCAACCTTGTGTTACACTTATTTTTGCCATTCTTGTATAATATGTTAATGACAAATTGGAGTACTGTGTGTTTCTATTAGTCTGAAATTTCACCAGTGGGTATGGTGATATTAGTGCAAAACTTTTGTAGCACAATTTGGAAACATTTTCGATCTAGTCTAGTACTCATAGTGGTTTTAGACTAGGGTTTATTATGCTTTAGGTTTCTCCTCAAAGGTTTCTATTCTTGATATATCAAGCTTTTAGACTTTTCTAAGGCTTCCGATATCATTTATCAAATGTCAAATATCTGTTCATCAAATACTCTTCTAGTTATTCTTCTATACTTTGGATATTCTTGTATTGTGTGTCACACCAAATAACTTGAACACTGATGAAGCTAATGTGTCATGTGGTGTGCCTCAAAGATCGGTGTTACTTCCTTTGTTGTATTTATTGGTGTTTGACAAACTTGCCTCACTCCAGGGATGTATAAATTGTGATCCAGATAGATTGATTGCACATGCAACTTAAATTTGTCTTATTGTTTGTGTCAATGCGATGAAGTTATTGACGATATCATTTGAGAACATTGGTGAGGTTGTTGGCATTAAATTCTACTTCGCTTGATGAAGTTTACCTTTCTTCCTTTCTGCTTACTCCTTTTTCTTATACAGAGAAATTCTCCTTTATAGTAATAAGTGTTCAGGAATCAACATTTTTAAATTAAATAGTCTCTTTTATGGGGCAAAGAGCTTGGGCACCATTCTGAGTACCTTGCTTATTTCTGGAGTGATTAAATTCTTTCTTGTTATTTTTTCCCTTCATGTCACAAACTTATGGATAAAACGATATTAATAAATAATTATCAATTTAATATATTTACATATTTGTTTTAGTACACAACCGAAATAATAAAAGCATAAATCATTCATATTCAAACCTTTTAACTAAATTACCATTATAAACACCGGCGCGTCCACCATTTCTAAATGGGATATATTCTAATTTGTACTAAATCCCACAGTATTTATAACCTCATCACGATTCCAAAATACGAAACATCAACGTACTGATGAAATTCATATCGAAATCACCTCGAAAATCACAAAGCGGAAACTGGAGCCAAATCCTTGCCAATTTTATCTGTCGGGCCGAATATGTTCGGTGTCCTTTCTAATCCTACTGCGGCAGGATCGAGCTAATATCCCAGTCAGGTAATCTGCACGTAATATAACCAAATGAAGCGTCGAGTTTTCGATTAATAAACTAATTAGAACGAGGACACGCCAGGCATAGCTAATTGCGGCTGCGGCGCCGACGTACAGTAGTGATATTCCGCGACTTGTAACCCCTCCGCCTGTGAAAATCGTACCGAAGGGAATGGTGAATTTTCTCCTTGTGTAATTTTATAAAGTCATTTCGGTAAGCCGCGCTTCGCCGCTCCTCTCCGGGGCATGAACTTTATGTTTGCACGTGAAATGGCAATTACTGAAGTCAGTCGCTACGGTGTCTACACGGGGATTACGAAAAAGTAACACAAGGAAAACGAGGAAGATGGGTTAAAAAATGTATAAAAAGAGTTCTGTATAGAGTTAGCTAATTTATTTATAAGCACCATCAATGTTGATTTTTAAAATTGATTTTTTTAAATATATTTAAGTTAATATGTTTCTTTTTTTTGCAGTTGGAGACATTATTGTGTCCTAACGAAGAGAAAACGATGATGAAATTCTCAGAAATCATCGCTGAACTGGTGATATCGATGGGAACGGTAGCGTGACGGAAAATGTTAAGCTACACAATTGCAGGAGTGCTCCTGCATTTATTACTGCAATGTCCTGGTAAGTTGAACTTCACGAAACAACCTCTTCTTATCGAAACTCCTTTCGTAAACCCTTTTATTATCTTCCGTATCAATTTACCTACGAACAATTTCGGCGAAAGTAGATGCCGCAATTCTCGACGGTCTCATGTTATTTTCTGCGCTCTCACGTTCTCGTTATATTCGCAGCATATACTTTAAATTTTTTCACTAAACATTGTAGAAATATGCTAAAGTACTCGGGCAATACTCCTATGTAACGTGACATAACTCATAAACATTACCATTAAAATCCCCGTTTTCCCGCCGGCGCTTATCGCGTCCTAAGTACATCAATTAATAAGACGAAACTTCACGGCGCAACTGAATGCACCGCAGAAAGCTCTCGGCGAACTTCGCACATTAAAACCGCAAATGACGTTAAAACCCATAAAGCTTTCAGGGTCCGGAAGGAGAGGAAACTATTTAATCAACATCCGGGACGCTTTATCATAATTAATTTCGAGATATCTATCGTCGCGACGAGATGGTGGCATCGCAACGCTTTAGGGGGCAAGTAGGGAAAAAGGGGGCGCGTCCGAAACGACCGCAATTACAAGAACAATTTGAAAAGTGCGATAAGCAATACGCGGCGCACTGGAAAAACCGCGCTGATTTATAGACTACGTGGCCGGCATTTATTACCACGGCACTTCCCCTATTTCTCACTGAATATTAATAACGTGCCAGCCAGAAACAAAATACGGGCTACGGTATGGTCGTTATTGTTCCAGACGCGTTTCCTCCTTTAAAGTAGTAGAAATTTCCAAACGAATTGGTGTCGACGTTAAAATCTGAATAATAAATAAATTAAAGCTTTTTTTTAACATTTTAAGACTATAAATGGTTGAAACGCGAATTTTTTTTATTAATGTTTAATGAAAAATTAAATCTAATAAACCTTAAAGTTTAGTACATCTACAAAACAACAAGTTTGTTTCTCAAACGTTTATAATTAACCATTACCGTCGGACATCCGTCTTTATTGAACGATGTCGGGGTTATCATCCAAACTCCATCATCTCCCAGAAGGAGTTTTACTCGTATTACGTAATTGAGAATTAATAAATTCCTCGTTCGACCCTCATCATATAGCTTTCATCCCAAGTTTAACCTTATAGCATCAGTCTTTATTATTAGCTGCTCTTTTAATCCAGATAATTTTAACACAACGTTACGGCGAACCTTGTCATGTTTGTGATTCAATTTTGAGAAAATTTTCGCTCCTAAAACATAAACAAGGTTTGTTTATTAATAGTATTGTTCAAATTAATTAAATGTCAAACCGTTTTATTAATAACGTTTCGAAAACGGGAATTTGGGAAAATCTTTTGAGAGAGAATTATGATTTTAAGCAGATTTTATCGGAGTTATTACAACCCGAATTAGAGGTTTATGGCCTCTACGGGTAGATTTAGATTACACAGGGTTTACATGATATACAAACAATGGGGCCTTAAGAAAATCTATGGAATTTATTTTTATTACTTTGACAAAACTAATGTTCAACAAATATTACATATCTTGAAATAAGTAAGCGCTTTTTGGCTGCTATTAATATTCGATGAAATTTGTTATGAAGAATAATTTAAAGCTCGCTTTAGCCTTGGCAAAAACAGATTATTCTAATATTGTTTGTTTTAAATTTAGCACGTTTATCCTACTTAAAATAAGCCTGTTGTTGTCGAACATGTGTTAAGCATTCAAATCAATACGCCGGTTGGTACATCGATATAATCAGTGTCCTCAAATCACCCCTCTTTTTTCTTTTCTTTTTTTTGTAACTATGTTTTCATTACAACTACAGCTTCAAAAAATATATTAATCTTTCTAACATCATGTAGCCATCAGTTAATGATATTCTTGACTATAACTATATATTTTGAAGAAACTACACATTCAAGTCACTTCTTCAGTTAGAATACAGTCCTCACTACTGTGAACTGCTATTTCATTCCATATGCCATCGTTTCTCTTTCGAGGGGTGCCATCATAAGTGATAAATGATATGATACACTATAGTATAATTTTACAAAAACAATAGTGTTCTCGTTAATGATGTTGGTTGGTGTTTTGTATTTCCATATCAAGATATTTCAATTTTAAGGACTTAAACAGATTCTCAACTGTATTAGTCTTGAAATTTTAAAACTGAAATATTTCTGTATTATTTATTCATCACTTCCTGTGGTCCATCTGCTAATTGTCCCAGGGTACGACTCATGTTTAAATAATGGCTTTAGAGTGGACTATTATTTTATGATTACACACCTGGATGTTGTAACATGAATAATACTGAAAGTATATTCTTTTGATTTCCTGTGCATACTATATCTCCCATCCGCTGATTTTACGGCATGCCTAAAAGATAATTGCGAATAAGAGCAACACAATCAAAAGGTGAAAAATTTATTCTATATCGATATGGACTTTTTAAGCCAGCATGTTAAAATGTTGTATATATTTTGTCATCCATCATGGTAAGCACAAATTTATGCTAGAGTCAAAAATTAGTTATATAGTTTATAACTGTTTCTTCATTAAGGTGCGAATTCAATCAGATCACCGGAGCTTTAGGAACTAAATAGTATCAGCTATTGAATGACTTGAACATAGAATATCTTGACCATGGGCATATGAACACTGCTTTCTTTAACTCCACGTTTATAGCGCTTAGGCAGCTAGTGGTGCACTGGATTATTAATAGTTTGAACGTAACTCAATATACCGGTGTTTCGACCAAAATCTTGTATTGAAGTTGTCCACCGTGGCCACACCTATTATTAGAGTTTACTTTTCTAGGATTAATGTGATGTCTATGGTGTGCGGATGACTTAATTGTTATGGACCACACCGTTGAGGAAGGATAACCTAGCAGTGTGCTATATGCTTTTTTCAACGAAAGACACTGTGACTTAACTCTGGAAGTGCATGGCATGGCTGGGGTAAAAGTACCTCAGCTAGTTTATTATATGGAGCTGAACAGTATGCCTTCATAGTTCAAACATTTGCCTTCATTAAGAACGCAAATATCTAGATTGGATTAGAGTGTCTGTGAATTGCCTGTAACTCATAATCAGACTAGCACTGATCCTGAATACAACCATCGCCGATGCTATCCTTCGTATTCATTAAGGAAGTTGAGTAACAAACATGGTTTTTTAAGCGCTTGGGATAATGTCAAGGTGCAAATTCTTGCAGTGGCCTTTTTTGTGCGTTGAAATTTCGGATTATTTGTTCTTAGTGCAGTAATAATCTTGTAACATTGGAAAACGATGTTAGCGCCGATCTTCTTCGCTGTCTAAAGGCATTCATCAACAAACATCGAGTCGCAGAATACCGTATTAGTTGTGCATATTCTAACACGCTGTATATTCTGCAGAAACGATCGGCTTGAATGATTTCTTCTTCAATACCTTGCGTTAAACATTTTCAGGTAAGGCGATTGCAATTATAACACTTGCTTTAGGCATGGCATCTATTCTCTCTTAGTGATCTAGTGATTATCTTACCGATAATTCAATTGATTGTGATCTAACCAAACTATTTGGCTGATTCGAAATTGGAGTCAGTAAAAAGAATCATTTTGACAAGATCTATTTAGGTTGGTGATAACACGTTCGTTGCCCCGTAAGGCGACATCCGTGCCTCTCAAATTGTTGTCTTTGTGCGGCGTGGTACAATTCGTGTATGTGGCACTTCTCAACTTACCTTTCATGTATCGTAGGTGACTAGCAGTGCCATGCTGTTCCTATGTTATAACGGACCTAAATTCGACATGACAAGACAAGCATTTTCATATATTTGGCCTCAGAGAAAAATCATTTCGATTTTATAACTAAAAAACTAGTTCGGTCTTTTTTCAAATCGTACAATTCCAAGTCGATCTTGCAGTTTTGTTCTGAGCTTCTTTTCTACTAAATTCTTCCTGTATATTTTTGTAGCATACTTTACATCGTAAACGTTTAGTTGTATATTCCAACTGATGATTATCTGTGGAGTCTTCACGGTCACTCTCCTCATTTGTTTCAACAGTTTTTCCACATTTGAGAAGTAATTCCGTAAATTTCTCTCTGAACTCAATGATTGTCATTTTATCTTTCGTCACTTCTGAATATACCACATGTGCATTTACTACGGTTGCTCTCAGGAGTACTTCTACTGCCAGTTTCGTTAGAGGAGAATTGTAAGCATCAAAGCCAATGATGACTTTTGAAAAACATCATTTTGGTTCATCAAAACAAGGTGGCAAAATGATGTGACAAAAGCTGCATGTTTATCTAATTTTACACTTACTTTAGCTACTAAGGTTTTAAATAAGTGGAGTTTTGAAATACATTTTTGCGTCATCCTGTAATATGTGTACAAGTAAACATTGTTACTCTTTATTTCACTCTGGAATAATCTAAACATGATTGTCCTACAACTATAGTACACAAATGTTTAATTATATCTCATTTTTAATGGATATTAGCTTGAAAAGAGTAAATTCAGATCACTTCTGAAATTAAAAATTAAAAGGTGCTCCGTTTTCTTTAAGCGACCAACCTAAATTGCCTCTGCGTCTAACTTGACACGAAGACAAATGTAGCCCTAATGACAACCATTTTCAACATTTATACTCATGTCTAAATTCGAGCAAGTTCCATCTTGTTAGTAAATAATTTATAATGTCGGTTTACATTTCAATTTTTTGGAATACTTGGTATAAATACTAAATACCTTAGATAATTTGTTACATAATTAATACATGAGCAGCTCATATCAAAGTAATTTTTAAATAATATAAAGCATTGAAGAAGTTTTTGTAAAAAATAACCATAATTTTCTATTTGGGGAAACGGTTAAAACCATTAATCTATTTAAGGTTTTAGTAGAGTTTACTAAAACTTGCATATTCTCTTTAGATATCCAAGAAAACTTTATACGGGAGTATTTTTATGATCCCTATATCCGGCTTTATATTTTCCGCGCGAAGGA